CTACGATGCTGGTTCTCACACGGTGACTTCTCTCTTGGGGCAACCACAACACTGGCCAGCTGCCCCTAACTTCTCTGGTGGAAATGACTGTTTCGGAGGTACAAATGTTCCCTGGGAAGGTCCGACACCACGATGCTGAGCCTTCAAAGGGGCACAGTTGCTGAGCCCACGTCTGGCCCACACTTAAACCCAGCCCAGCAGAGCTCTCGGTCTGAAAGCCCCTATCCCAGGCCCCAGGGCAGCAGGAAAGACTGCGCTTGCGTCAGCGAACCCCTTGGGCTTACCACCACGTGGGCTTCCTTGGTCAGAGCTTCCAGCCCTCTGCTGCTTCTGTTGTGCAATAATTTCATCCTCTTTTATTATTATGTTCTTTATGTTTTAGGTTTTGTTTTGATCGTGGTCCCTCTTTTTTCCACTTCTCATCCTCAGCCCCACCGTTACCTTTCCCCTCAGCTCACGCAAAGAAAGGCTGGCGTGGGTGCCAGGCATGGCACACATCGAGAGTGTTCTCCCGGGGAACTCGATCAGCCACCCCGGGGAACGAGGGCCGGCTGTGCCCTCACGGCCCCTGCCCTGGGATTCCGCTCTCCCCCGGTTGGTTGGGCTGTGTCCTGCAAAGCGCAAGTTCCCTAGTGGGGTTCCGGTCACGGCACATGCCTGGGCTGCGGTTCCACTGAGCGTATGGGAGCCAACGGGCCCGTGTTCCTCTCGCCTACCTGGGTTTCTCTCCCTCTCTTTTCCTCCCTCACACACACACAAAATCTCGCAGACCCGTGGAACTGCCTGACTTTGTTACATGGAAGAAAACTTTTTGATCGCTGAAATCTAGATCGGAAGGCCCTGGCACGTTTGCCCACGGAACGTCTGGCCTGTGTGAAGGAGCGTGTGAGGAAGTGCAGCTTCACTGGGCATTGGATCCAAGAGGGAATCAATCCACAAAGAGTGAACACACACAAGAGGATATTTTACACTTGTCATTTATTGGTGTTACCTTTATATCTATGATCATATCACTAGCACTCATAATGAAGATAATAATAACTGTAATTATTTTTATAATTACAACTTAACATTCCGCAAGGAAATATTGATGTGCTTAGCCTTTGTTACCCAATGCACTCATAAAAGCTACCTGATAAAATATGAAGTGTCAGCTCTAACCCTCAGGTAAAACAAGAGGACAGGTGAGGTTAGGTGACGGGCTGAGTGTCACCTGTGTAGAAATGACGGACCAAACATGTCCCCAAACAGCTCGCATCTGGAGCCCTGGACCCTGACGTCCTCCCTATCGGACATGTGGACTGAAATTCTGAAGTCACTTTAACTTACAAAACTGACAAGCAAAAACCAGGCTGCAAGCCTGCCTCTGCCGTCGATCAGCAGCGGGACTTTACGCCAGGGTCGCCGCTGCTCCGTCCGGTCCCTGAAATCCGTGGCTGAAATCTGATGGTATGTTCCAAGCAGAAGGGCTGAGAGTCCCCGAGAGTGTCAGGAATGGAGGTTTTGTTTTTGTTTTTGTTTTTGTTTTTTAAATAGAAGATAACCTTTCTAATAGCTGGTCTGGACCCATCCCTTCCAACTGTGGTTTCTTTTCAAACACAAAACAAACTTGAATCCCCTCAAGCAATGAAATCAGTTCCACTTTGGATAATTCCATCCAAGATGAACGGATTTCCCTTAATCTCCTTAGGCCCTTCCAGGGGACCGGGGAGAAGCCGTCACCGCCCAGCCTTAATACCCGCCGGTCCGGCGCCTGAGGGCCCCGGACGGAACAAATGCCCAGGGAAGGGGCCCGCGGAGCCCTTCCAGCTCTCGGCAGCCCAGGCATGGAGCAGAACCGTCCCTGCTGCGTGCGCGAGGCCTGGGACTCCGTGGACAAGTCGCTGGCTCCAATCCTGCTTCCACCCTTGTGCTTCCGGGAGGAAGGCATGCCCTGGTCGCTCCCTCTCTACCCTAAGCTGGGCCACCTCACTTCGGACGACCGGGACGTCGCCCGAGAACTACATCCCGGTCCCCGCAGGCTTCTGCACAGGGACTGTTCGCGACATGGGCCCAGAGCGCAGAGCACCTCCAGGCGGGACGCAGAGGAGCCAGGCCCAGAAGGGACGCAGGAGACCCAGCAGCCAGAGACGCCCCCAGGAGTGGCGGCAGCCGCCCTGGCCCTGGCCGATGGTCGCCCTGAAGACTCTCTTCGCCTGTCGCCCTGCCGCTGGGACAGACGCCTGGAACCCGACCCTTCCAGCGAACCGGTCTCCGGTTCCACAAGCTGCTGGCCGTGGAGCTGCCCGACAGGGATCACGAAGACCCTGGGCTGCCTCTGCTGCCTTTGGACACATTAGACTCCTTCGGAGACCCTTCCTTGCACGGCCCCCTGCCACAGACGGTCTTAGGATAACACTTCTCAGTTTAGAGTCTTATAAGAAATTTACCTTCATAGACAGTGGTGAGATTTTCTTCACGTACCTCATACATTATGCCACAATTCCACCATCTCTCTCCTGTGTGTCCCCGCTTTGGTTGTTAGGGAAGGACTAGGCGAGGGTCCTGCTAAGTGGCCCGACTTTGGCTGTTGGTGAGGCGGTGGCGTCTCCCACCCACACCGGGTCCAGGGACCAGAAGCTAGAGGGTCATCAAACTGGGACTGGCTTTCTGGGCTGCCAAGAGCTCAGCTGAGAAGCAGCCTGCAGCCCTGGGGCCTCACTTGGCCCAGAAGCGCTTCTGCTCCCTGGGCCCGGCCCTTTGGCTTGTCCCTGGCCATCTCGGTGGCCTTCCAGCCCCCTTCCTGGTACCCTGCCGCCTTCCCTGCTGCGCCCCATCCAGATGCCTCCACAAGTACCGGCCCCCTATGTCCCAGACTTCTTCCTCACGAAGGCCCTTCCCTCAGCATGTCCCTTCGTCCTGTCACCTTCCATAAACCTAAATGCCAGCACACGCGACCACGGCGACCTCGAACAAGCCGGCTGGGGTACGGTGGGAAGGCCTTGGTGCCAAGGACACCGGAAAATCAGCCACTAGTCCTTTGTGGTCTGGGCTTTCTGAGTCCAGATTCTGGAGTGGGCTTGTTCCTTTCCAATCCCAGCTCCAAGCGGGTGACTTCTCAAGGCTCATACTTACTGCTGACGAAGAACAAACATTCACCTAGTGAACTTAAAGGTTTAATTGGCTTTATGAAAAGAGCCACGCATCAGGCTGCTTCCCGACTGGCAACTAGAGGGGCGCTCCCTGGTTTATGCGAAATGAAAGGTTTTTCTAGGAAGAGGGTGTGACAGAGGAGTTACTAGTTTAAGAAAAGAAAGGATCATTTTTAGACAAGGACATCTTCTTCGGAGGGGGGAGGAAGGACAGAAACGTTTATTTCTATGCAGATTGTGTCTTCCGGATGGGGGGGCGGGGAGCGGGGGGCGGGGCAGAGGTGAAGGGGTTCCATGTGGCAGGTTGCCTGCCTGGTGCTTGCCTGGGAAATTCCAAGCCGGTGATTGAGATTGTGTTTCTGGGAGAGGTTGAAGTTGCAGTTAAATCGGGTAGGAAGTCGAGGCTCACTACCATGGGCTTTTAGCATAAGCGACACCATTTGGGCCTATGGTGTCTCTGTGACATTATCCAACACAGCTGAACGCGAGTAGCCAACACGTCCAGAACAGCAACTGTGCACGGACTTCAACGGTGTCCAGCGACGTGTCAACGCTCCATAAACGTCAGCTGCAGTTATTCTTATGATCGCCGAACGCCTGGGATTTCTCTGGGTCGGAGGAGTTCCCTGAGATTGAGCTCCCGGGTGTCTCAAAGTTCAGACTCCCCGCCTCGGGCTCACCCTCTAATCCCTTCATCCAGGTGCCCGCACCCCGCCCGGCGGCCCTCTCCCTGCGCCCTCTCCCTGCGCCCTCTCCCTGTGCCCTCTGGGGCGGGATCCCGTGGGTCACGTCCCTGCGGACCTGAATGCGGAGGCTCGGCCACTGCAACCACTCTGTCCTATCAGGGGGTGGCCACTTTTCCTCAATGTCGACATTATCTCCTTGACAGCACCCTTGTTTGCGCAGCCAGGAAGGGCGTGTGTGTGTGTGGCGGCCACGCCATCGGTTGCCGCCGCGCCGCGCAGGGCGCCCCGGCCTCTCCCTCCCTTTCCGCGGGGCGGGCAGAACCTCCCGCTGCTCCGCGCGCACGTGCTCTCGGGGGCGACTCCACGACTTCCCCGGCGTCGGCCCTTTCTCGGTGACAGCGCGTCTGAGGACGCCGACGGCGGTTTCGAAGTGGCAGGTTCCGCAGCCGGGGGGCGGTCTGCCCCGTGACGTCAGCGCCCGCAGGCCCGGTGCGCGCGCAGGACGGGCCCGGCCGACCGCGCTGCCCTGGCCGCACACTCCAGGCTCAGCCCGGGCGTCCGGGCTCGACGGTGCCTTCGCGATTCCTGGGTCTCAGCCAGTCCGGGCCAGCCGTTTCTCAATGGTTCCGCAGGAGAAACCGGTTCCGCCACGGCAGGTCCCCGCGGCCGCGGGGACTCCCTCCGCGCACAGCCCCGCCCCACCCCGCGCGGCCCTCGGAGTCCGCGGCCGCTCCGGGCCCGGCCGCTGCCGGCACCGCCTCGGCCGCCATCTGCTCCTCGCGCCACTCCGCTAATGGAGCGGAGGCGGTTTGTCCGTGGCGTTTTTCTTTTTCTACCCTGGTCTGTTTTATTTTACTTACTTTCAATGTTAATGTTTTATTATGTTACGGGTGAACATGTGAAATATTTATTTTAAAAATATTTTATCAATATTTTGAATCAGTACCATGTATTTTACATTTTAAGATACCTTTAGATGTATAACACTTTAGAATTGTTTTGCTTTTCATTTGCTTTTGTTAGTTTTTCCTTTTGTTTTATTTACCACTCAATTTTTAAAATATTTATTGTAATTATTTATTAATAAAACTCTGATAAAAATAATAAGTAGATTAGCTAGTCCACTATGAAATGTATTAGAAATGTTGCAGAGTAAAACGAAATTTCAAAAATATTGTTCAGCTGTTCAACTTGTATTTTTGTTTTTAGAAAAAATTTTCTTAATTTATCTTTAGAGAGAGGGGAAGGGAGGGAGAAAGAGAGGGAGAGGAACATCGACATGCGAGAGAAACTTCGGTCGGTTGCCTCTTGTGCAGCCGGGACCTGGGACTGAACCGCGAGCCAGCGAGGCATCTGCCGTGACCAGGAGCCCAGTGAGCGACCCCGTGGCATTTCAGGAGGTCGCCACCCAACGGAGTCACAGGGCTCAGCGCTAAACTTCTAAATAAGTACAAACAAATATAAAAATGGAGATACTTATTAAATTTTTTAAATGGAGTGTCATACTAAACTCAATAAATAAAATTTAATTAAATGTAGTTAAAAATAAGTTAAATTAAAAATAAAGTACACACAATTAATTTAATGTAAAATTGGAAAATAGTGTAATTAAAGTATGAATGAACTTTGAAGTTGAAATGTAATATAACCTTTAAAATTATACTTTAATAACGATTTATTTAAAAATTAAATTTACAGAGAGAAAAATACAGATTTCTTGTTCCACTTATAGACGTATTCATCCGTGGATTCTTTTTCTCGTTAATCTTCACCCGGAGATACCTTTTAGAATTGATTTTAAAAAGAGGAAAGGGGGGAAGAGAGAGAGAAAAAGGCAGGGAGGAAGAGAGAGGGGTGAGAGAAACTCCTACCATTTGCCTCCTGTACGCGCCCCACAGGGAGCGGGGGGAGGGGATCAAACCCAAAACCTAGGTAAGCGCCTTGAGCCGAGGGAACCTGCAATCGTCGTCGCGTGCGCCGAGACACTCCAACCGGCCGAGCCACCGCGCCCAGGCCATTGGGTCATTCCTGACGCGCCCTGACGGGGGGGGGGGGGGAGTGGGCGGGGTGTCCGCACAGCCAGGACACACCGGGGCGGCGCTCTGCCCAGCTGTGCTATCGGTCCAGATGCAGTGACAGTTTGAAAATCGCTTTACCACATTTCCCTAAAAAAGAAAAATAAAATAGAATAAAAAATTTAAATATTGCGATAATAAAATAATTGATAACAGATATAAATGTCTTTACATAAAACAGCTTAAAATTAATGTGGTAAAAGTTTCAAATATTTCTTTTGATACTTAAAAATTAAATACATACAAAAAGAAAATAAAGTGAAAATAAAGGTATAAGTAAAAATTAATGAACATAAAGTATTTAAATGTTAGCCCTGGCTGGTGTGGCTCAGTGGATTGAGTGCCTGCCTGCGAACCAAAGGGTCACTGGTTCCATTCCCACTCAGGGCACCCGCCTGCGTTGCGGGCCAGGACGCCAGTAGGAGGCGAGCGAGAGGCAACCACACAGTGATGTCCTTCCTCTCTTTCTCCCTCTCATCCCCTCTCTAAAAATAAATAACGTCTTTTAAAAGTTGTTCAAAATATTTAAATTTTAAAGTTGAAAAATGAAATAAAAAATATAAAATTCTAAGGTACTGATATTATAGTTCGGAAATACTGCAATTAAAAACATTTTAAAATAAAAAAATTGATAAAATATATTTAACATTTAAAACTGTAATTTATTATAATACTTTAAACATTATATAAAGTAATACTTACCGTAGTGTTAGATTATAAAGGTATTATACGTAATATAAAACAAAATTTCATTAATAATAAAAGTAACTAAAATAAATAGTAAATAAAATTAATTAGTATTTAAAGACTGTAAGGCTAAAATATTTTTAACTTATTATCAATAAATCAATTTAAAAATCAAAGAGTAAAAAATATAAATTTCAAAACTCAAAGCATATCATAAATAAAATTAATAAAACACGTAGAGATTATCATTTATTAATGAAAAAGAACATATTAAACTAAGTAATATAAAATTTAATATTAAATAATTCACTATAAAATATATTTTAAAATAAATTTTAAAAAATATAAAATCATTATACTGCAATATCATCAAATAATGTGTTAACTTAAAAATACATTAAATAAATCATCTAAAATTAAATACTTAAAAATACAATTTAAAATCATTTATATACATAAGTAAAATATAAATTTTTTAGATATCGTTCTATAAATTAATCACCCATGTAACAAAATATTTAAATAATATATACTTTATATAAATAAAATAATAAAAATAAATGTAGAAACAAAAAATATTCACAAAAATAATTAAATGAAAAATGAATAAAAATAACGGGGCTAAAATATGTGACAATAAGAAAATAAGGTTATAAATATATACTAAACAATATAAATAACAAAAGATGAAGAAATAGTCAACAGAAATCGTAAAATAAAAATTTAATTAGTCAAAAATAAAAGATCATAGGTTAGAATGATATATCACATAGGAGTTTAATTACACATTCCTGTAGTATGAAATAACTCATGGTGCTTTTTATGTCGGTCTCACAGGGACAAAGTTTTTTCCACGGAGCACCCGTGGTTCCACTCCCCCCGATGTTTGGCAACGCCGACCGCTCCGTGATCGGAGCCTGGCCGTGGTCTCCGGCAGCGCGCTCGTTCGCCCCTGAGGGACACTCGTCCTTGGCGACGGCACCGCCGTTGGCTCTCTGCGCCGCGACGTATAGCCTTCTGCCTGCTGTGAATACACTTCTGTACATCGTTCTGTAAATCGTTCTGAAACTCTCTCCATACCGTTCTATAAACCGTTCTGCAATGGTTCTTTATACCGTTCTGTACACGCTTTTGTAAATCTTTCTGTATATAGTATTGTAATTCGTCCTGTACATAGATCTGTAAATCATCCTGAAAATTTCTCTGTATATCGGTCTACCAATCATTCTGTATATTGTTCTGTAAACCATTCTGAATATTGTTCTGTATAAAGGTTTAGAAATCGCTCTGTATATACTTTTGTAAATCGTTCTGTATGAAGTTCTGTAAATCATTCTGTATAAAATTTTGTAAACTGTTCTGTAAATCGTTTTGTATAAAGTTTTTAAAGTTGTTCTATTTAAAGTTTTGAAAATCATTCTATAAACCGTTCTGTATATGGTTTTGTAAATAGTTCTGTATAAAGTTTTGTAAATCGTTCTATATAAAGTTTTGTAAATTGTTCCGTATAAAGTTTTGTATATCGTTTTTTAAATCGTTCTGTATACAGTTTTGGATGTCGTTCTGTATAAAGTTTTGTATTCATTCTGTAAATCCCTCTGTATAAAGCTTTGTAAATGTTCCATTTAAAGTTTTGAAAACCATTCTATAAATCGTTCTGTATACAGTTTTGTAAATAGTTCTGTATAAAGTTTTGTGAACCCTACTGTTTAAATGAACGATTTACAGAACGACTTACAAAATTTTATACGGAACGATTTACCAAACTATGTACAGAATGATTTACACAATGATTTACAAAACTTATCCAAAACAAGTTACAAATCTATATACAGAACAATCTACAGAACGATTTACAACACAAAACAACTTGCAGAATGATGTACAAAAGTTTATACAGAACGACTTACAAAACTTTATACACAACGATTTACAAAGCTATATACAGAACGATTTACAAAACTCAACACAAAACAATTTGCAGAACGATTTATAAAACTTTATACAGAACGATTTACAAAACTTTATACAGAACGATAAACTTTATGCAAGACTTACAGAACTTTATGCGGAACGATTTACAGAACTTTATACAGAACGATTTACAGAACTTTATGCAGAACGATTTACAAAACTTTACACAAAACGATTTACAAAACTTTATACAGAACGATTTACAGAACTTTACACAGAACGATTTACAAAACTTCATACAGAAGACGATTTATACAGAACATTTACATTTACAGAACTTTATGCAGAACGATTTACAGAACTTTATACAGAACGATTTACAGAACTTTATGCAGAACGATTTACAGAACTTTACACAGAACGATTTACAAAACTTCATACAGAACGATTAACAGAACTTTATACAGAATTTTATACAGAACGATTTAAAAAATTATGCATAGAACGATTTACAGAAAAATTTACAAAACTTTATACAGAACGATTTACAGAACGTTTTACAAAACTTTTTACAGAACGATTTACAGAACTTTATACGGAACGATTTACAAAACGTTATACAGAACGATTTACAAAACTTTACACAGAACGATTTACAAAACTTTATACAGAACAACTTACAGAACTTTATACAGAACGACTTGCAGAACGATTTACAAAACTATACATAGAACGATTAACAGAAAAATTTACAAAACTTTATAAACAACGATTTACGGAACTTTTTACAAAACCTTATGCAGAATCATTTACAAAACTTTACACAGAACGATTTGCAGATCTTTATACATAACGATTTACAAAACCACACACAGAACGATTTACAAAACTTTACACAGAACGATTTACAAAACGTTATACAGAACGATTTGCAGAACGTTATACAGAATCATTTACAGAACGTTATACGGAACGATTTACAGAACGTTATACGGAACGATTTGCAGAACGTTATACAGAATCATTTACAGAACGTTATACAGAACGATTTACAGAACGTTATACGGAACGATTTGCAGAACGTTACACGGAACGATTTGCAGAACGTTATACGGAACGATTTGCAGAACGTTATACGGAACCATTTACAGAACGTTACACGGAACGATTTGCAGAACGTTATACGGAACGATTTGCAGAACGTTATACGGAACGATTTACAGAACGTTATACGGATCGATTTGCAGAAAGTTATACGGATCGATTTGCAGAACGTTATACAGAATCATTTACAGAACGTTATACAGAACGATTTACAGAACGTTATACGGAACGATTTACAGAACGTTATACGGAACGATTTACAGAACGTTACACGGAACGATTTGCAGAACGTTACACGGAACGATTTGCAGAACGTTATACAGAATCATTTACAGAACGTTATACAGAACGATTTACAGAACGTTACACGGAACGATTTGCAGAACGTTACACGGAACGATTTGCAGAACGTTACACGGAACGATTTGCAGAACGTTATACAGAATCATTTACAGAACGTTATACAGAACGATTTACAGAACGTTATACGGAACGATTTACAGAACGTTATACGGAACGATTTACAGAACGTTATACGGGACGATTTGCAGAACGTTATACGGGACGATTTACAGAACGTTATACGGAACGATTTACAGAACGTTATACGGAACGATTTACAGAACGTTATACGGGACGATTTGCAGAACGTTATACGGAACGATTTGCAGAACGTTACACGGAACGATTTGCAGAACGTTACACGGAACGATTTGCAGAACGTTACACGGAACGATTTGCAGAACGTTACACGGAACGATTTGCAGAACGTTATACAGAACCATTTACAGAACGTTATACAGAACGATTTACAGAACGTTATACGGAACGATTTACAGAACGTTATACGGAACGATTTACAGAACGTTATACGGAACGATTTACAGAACGTTATACGGGACGATTTGCAGAACGTTATACGGAACGATTTACAGAACGTTATACGGAACGATTTACAGAACGTTATACGGAACGATTTACAGAACGTTATACGGAACGATTTGCAGAACGTTATACGGAACGATTTACAGAACGTTACATGCAATTACACGGAACGATTTGCAGAACGTTACACGGAACGATTTGCAGAACGTTATACGGAACGATTTACAGAACGTTATACAGAACGATTTACAGAACGTTATACGGAACGATTTGCAGAACGTTACACGGAACGATTTGCAGAACGTTATACGGAACGATTTGCAGAACGTTATACGGAACGATTTACAGAACGTTATACAGAACGATTTACAGAACGTTATACGGAACGATTTACAGAACGTTATACGGAACGATTTACAGAACGTTATACGGAACGATTTACAGAACGTTATACGGAACGATTTACAGAACGTTATACGGAACGATTTGCAGAACGTTATACGGAACGATTTACAAAACGTTATACGGAACGATTTACAGAACGTTATACGGAACGATTTACAGAACGTTATACGGGACGATTTGCAGAACGTTATACGGAACGATTTGCAGAACTTTATACAGAATCATTTACAAAACTTTATACAGAACGATTTACAGAACGTTATACAGAACGATTTACAGAACGTTATACAGAACGATTTACAGAACGTTATACGGAACGATTTACAGAACTTTATAAGGAACGATTTACAAAACGTTATACAGAACGATTTACAAAACTTTACACAGAACGATTTGCAGAACGTTATACAGAACGATTTACAAAATCTTAAACAGAACACTCTACAAAACCTTATATAGAACGATTTACAAAACGTTACGCAGAACGAAGTAGAAATCTTTATACAGAAGATTTACAAAATTATCGTTCTCTATAATGATTTGTACGTTTTGTAAATCGTTCTGTAAAACGTTTTGGAAATCTTTCTGTAACTCGTTCTGTATACAGTTTTGTAAATCGCTCTCTGTATCGTTTTGAAAATCGTTCTGTATGCAGTTTCATAAATGGTTCTGTAAACAGTTATGGAAATGGTTCTGGAGAAAGTTTTGTAAATCGTTCTGTAAATCGTTGAATTAGTTTTGTAAATAGTTCTTTATAAAATTTTGTAAATCGTTCTGTACATGGTTCTGTAAATCGTTCTACACGGAGATTTGTGCATCGTTCTGCAAATCGTTTTGTAAACCGGCCTGCCCGTTCTGTGTACCGTTCTCTCTGAATGATCGTTCCCTGCTCTGTGCTCATTTTCTCGTATTTAAGTTGGGTACACCGACTCTCTTGATCGGTCCGTGGAGGATAAAACCGCTTTGAATACCCGGGTTTTCCACGTCCGGCCTCCCTCCGCCCACCCCCCGCGGGTGCATAAATATCGGGGCTGCCGGCACCGCTGCAGGCCTTGCCTCCCGCCTCAGCTCAGACACTGGTGCCGCCCGGGTCCGAGGTCTCCGCGATGGATCCGCACTTTCTCGCCGCTGCGAAGACGGCTTGGGAGGCCGCAGACCGGGCGCCGCAGCCGCGGCCTCCGTCGGTGCTCCTCTGCGAGGGCTCGGGGCCGTGGTCGCTGCCCCTCTACCCGGCGCTGGGAGAGACCTCGGGCCACCGCGGCGCTGACGACGGGCGACTGCTCTCCAGTCCGTGTTGGCGCCTGCCCTCGGTGTACGACCGCTACAGAGTCCTCAGCGGAGCGCGGAGCCCCTCGGAGCCGAGCGCCACGCCGCCCAGCCCGGGCCTCGGGACGGGGACACGCGGGACGCCAGCAGCCGCCGCCCGAGCGCCGGAGCCCGCCGAGGACCCCGCGTCCCAGCCGCTTCCCGGGGCCCTGCCGCCCGACGCCGGACCCGGCCCGCGGCCCGCCGACACCCAGGACGGCGCGCGCCCTCCCGAACAGCGCCCCCCTTCGGGCCCCGCTGCGGGGCGCCCGCGCCGCTCTCTCCCCGGCTGCCTGCGGTGGGTGCGCCGCGCCGCCCGCGCCCTGAGCCGCGCGGCCGCCGGCGGCTGCCGGCCCTGCCTGGACCTGAGAGGGCCCTGAGGCCGCGGCGGCGGCGCCGAAAACGGCTCTCGGTTTCCAATAAAAATGCACGACGCGCCTTCAGAGTCCCTCGTAAGTTACTGCCTCTTCCTCCTCGCTGCCCCGTCGCTTCTGGCTGCACTTTCCTCCCTCCCTCCTGCTCGCAATACTTACTTTTATTAACTGGCTTTTACCCACCGACACTCAATTGTACTTAACACTGCGCCTTGCTGTCTGCCACTGCTGACCTTCGGTTCCTTTACTCTAATGAAACTTTTACATACCCGCTTTTACTTAATGACACTTCTTTTTACTTACTGGCACTTGACTCACTTCTTATTTCTGGAACAACCATTTGATTGTTCGACACATTCTTCTCTCTCTCTTTTTTAAAACTAAAATTCATGCATCTATACCTTGAACACTGTTCATCTAAAAACACATGACCCTTCCACTCATACTTTCTATCCTATGTTCTCTCCCTTCAGTCTCATTTATTTTACTGGTTTTAGTTTTACATTTTGATTACAAATTTTACCCACGAGTAATCTTTACTCTCCTGTGAACCTGAGAAGGTGGTAATGGTGAACTGTTACATATTAGCACGGTGTAAGCAGGTAAGCACATTTAGGAATACAAATTGTAACGATTTATAATTTTCAGAGACATATACTTTTCACAGCAGGATTGTTATCATTGTGGAAAAAGTCTTGATCGCTACTAGCACTAAATCGCTTTCCTTGTCTGTAAAAAATTCGGAAGACAAAAGTAGATCAACTTAAATGCAGCAGTTAATGCTGCAGTGTATCAGCTTTTTTGAAAGTGACCTTTATGTTCAATGAATGGGCATCATTTAACACTGTAAATTTTTGTCTTGTATCTATTTTAGTCACAAGTAAGTTAATAGATAGTGAAGGATTAGACGTTAAGCAGCTAGCTATCACCTTAAGGATTTTTTTTTTTCCTTTCGGCTCACAGATTCTGTGAGGTAGAGAACACAGACGCTTACAGAACATGTAACCCCAGGCAGGAATGAAACGTCTGTGTGGGTTCCATTGAGTGCTGACAGCTGGGAAAACTAGCCTGCTTTGATTACACTGGAAAAGGAAACTCATTTTTATTTTTTAAAGATCATTCCGCATCCTGTGAACTTGAAAACATTTGAATTAGTTTCTATGTTTCTGGAGTGTAGCACATACTTAAGTTATTCAAGGGCTTCCTTTTCTTTAAGCCAATACAGAGAGCTCCTTTAAAGTATCAGGTACATAATACACATAGATAGACAGATACACATACACAGACAGACAGATAAGGGATACTGTAGCCTCATTTCACACGCCAGCCAGTGTCTGTCTGGTGCTATAAACCTCAGAAGGACAGCTGGGGCCCTACTGGGTCTCCGGGAGCTGGAATGAGCTACGTCCCCTGCTCAGGTGGCTACGGCTTTGCACTACAGATTCTTAAAATTCTGCGCCATAAGGATTCCGGTTTTTTTTTTTTTGTTTTTTTTTTTTTTTTGCTGTGATGCTCAGTAACCATTTCACCCTCAGGCACTGTAAGAGTTCGTAGATCCCTGTTCTCTGTACAGTCAATATTTTCATTGTGCAAATTACAATAGGATCTGTCCTTTGAGCTCATCGCTGCTTCTGTAAACCTCTGCAAACAATGTTATTTCCTCTGAGACTCTGTCCCGCCCCTGGGAGGAGAAGTGGAGGGAGAGTCCAGACCCACATGTAGAAACTGCTGAAAAAACCTCTGTCCCTTTTCCTTCTCTTCTTGAACAACAAAACCCCTTTGCCTACCTGCTGGGACGCTTTCTCCCCTGGTCTCCTTTGTGACAGGCCATGGTGTTTGTATTTGCTATTTAATGTCATCCTGGAGGGGTCTGTCTTAGTCTGCTTGGGCTGCCATACAGCATACCATGGACTGAGGGGCACACGCCACAGAATTTATTCCTCACAGTACTGGAGGCTGCGGGTGGGGTCCGAGATCGGGGTGGGGGGCAGTGGGGTCGGGTTCCGGGCAGCGCGCCCCCCCCTGGCTGGCAGGCGGCGGCCTCCTCACAGGGCGGGCAGAGGGGATGCGGGAGCTCTCCGGTGTCTCTTCCCAGGAGGCAAAAATCCCATGGTGAAGGCCCCCCCCCCTCATGGCCTCATCTAACCCCAATGACCTCCCAAAGTCCTTAGGCCCCAGGCGCATCCCACGGTGGCGCTAGGGCTTCAACATATAAATGGCGCGGGGGGGGGGGGCTATATAATATATTATTAAAAAATATATATATATATATATATAAAACATGTATATATATAGTTTTGGGAGCTCTTCAGTCTTTTCAAAGTCTCCTCATTCCAGTAGAAGAAGGCGCTCTGTGTTCCCCCAGAGGGACCGGGACCCTCTGTTTCTGAGGGCAGCCCGAAGGCGCACTACGTTAAGTAGCCGAAGGTTTCCCCGCAGCGCCCACTGCAATTCCAAACTCTGCAAACTTCGCCCACGTCCCCGAAGGCCTAAGACCCCGGTCCCAGGCGAGGCCCAGGTGGAAACCGCGCGCGTCCCCTTCACCCTCAGGTTTCTTCAGGCCTCTGGACGCAGACAGAGCCTGTTTTTCAAAGGCCCTTCGGGGTTCAACGGAAAGGAGGACTTACCAAGGAACTTCAGGAAGGAATGGCTCAGTAAAAGCAGAGACTGCGCACAAGCGCAGCGGAGCTGCCGGCCGAGCTTCGCCCCCCCAGAGCGGGGCCCCGGGGAAGCGGAGAGGGCGCTGGGCCGGGGCACCGGCGCCGTCACTCACCAGCCCCGGGGGCGGCGGGGCTCCTCTGCGCGTCCCAGGGCCCGGACAGAGCTCAGAGCGCCTCCCCGCTCCGGGGGGACGAGCCGGCAGCCGGGCCGTCGCCCAGCTTATGAAGGGGGACGGGGAGGAGCGGGCTGACCTTTGCAGCCATTGGTCGGCACCGCGGGGGATTCCAGAAGCCGGCGCATTGGTCAAAAGCGACAGCCTCGCTCCGCTGCAGGGACTTTCCGCTGTTCTAAGTCATTTCCAAGAAACGAGTTCGGGCGCTGTGACGTACGCGCACGGAGCATTTGCAGCCTGGGCTGCATTTTCTGTGGACGCGCGGCCCCCGGCCGTCCGGCGACCGCACCGCTCAGCCCCAGTGTCCGCGGACGCTGGGGGCAGCGCCCCCCGGCCGCGGAAGCTCCCGGACGGACCTCGGCGGCGGCCGCGGGCCCCTCGCTGGGTCCCGGCGCCGCTGGGGGCGCCGCGTCCTCGGCCTTTCTCGGTCCCCGCGGCGGCGGCGCGGCGCGCGCGCCCGCCGCGGTCTGGGGCCCGGCCCGCCGCGCCCGCGCGGCCTGCGCTGCTTCCCCCTCGTACCCGCGGCTCCGCCGCCGCCCGGCTGCCGTCCCCGGCCGGGCCCCGGGGCGCGCCGTCCGCGCCGCACGCGCCGCTCGGCGGGGAGAGGACCCCCGCGCTCTGGGGGTCCCGGCGTCGGGGCCCCGGGCCCGGTTCCGCGTCTCGGGAGGCCCTCGGGCGCCGCCCTCAATGGCGCTTGCTCCTTCTCCTTGAGGAGGGACTTCCTCTCTGAACGGTGTGCTCCTCAGAGGCCCAGCCAGGCCGCTGGGGCTTCTGGCTCCTCCCTGAGCGAAGGAAGGGGCGCGGGGGCTGGGGCTTGGAAGGCCGCGAGCTGTTCCCGGGACAGCGGGGCGTCTGCCCTGCCACAGAGGTGGGCCATTCGGATCAACGGTAGACCCGGTCCCCACCCTGCGCAGGGCCCTTCACTGCTCGTTGGGAGCCGAGGGACAGGCCGCAGTCCTCCCTGAATCTGCCACGCTTGGTGCCTTCAGCTCAAAACAGCGACAGAGGCACAGTGCGGGGAGGCTAGTTCTGAACCCCTTCACTGCCGGGAGGAAAGGCAACTGTGATCCAGTCAAATAGTTAACACAATCACACCCCTCAGCTCTGTGCTGCTTTCCGGTCACATTAAGGGTTGAAAACAAGGGAGCGGGCAAAGGTACACACAAGTATAATTAATTCTAGGAGGCATCTCTTTGCCTCAAGGCCACGCCTTGGAGATATACGTCGGCGGTTCTGACTTGCTGCATGATTTTAATACGAGCCTTTTCCTCTTAGCGATCTGTTAAATCCTGAAGCATCTCAGCCGTGATTGTCTTCTTAGGTTCGAGGAATTAGGATTCCAAACCTAATGTCCAAACCTCTGTGGAGGAAAAGCTGGTCAGAGCAGCTGTAACTGTACGTTGGGCTTGCTTCTCTCAGTATTGCTCTGAGTCACTGTAGAAGAAACGACTAAGATATGTGAAAGGGTAAAAGATATGTCTGATCATCGTAACCATTGAGGAATTAATTCAAATAAATATCTTTAGAGACGTACACACACAGAACAGAATGAGAGCAGCCATGGGTGGGGGTGGGGGGAAATGGCGGGAAGAAGAGGGAGGGACTGGTCAGGAAACAGTAATGACTGACCCGTGGACAAGGACAGTGGTGGGGGACCTGGCTGTGGGGGTGGGGCAAGCTGGGCAGGGGAGGGAAGTGGGGGAAACCGTGGGACAACTGTACCAGAATGACAAAAAGTTGTTGTTTTTTTTTTTAATTAGAGGAGTAAATATAGAAGAGTCACAGACAAAGGTTCGGGCCTACAGAAGTTTAGCAGGAGTCCCTCTCCAAGCCTGGACTGCAACACTAGCCTCACCTGGTGGCTGATAGACATGCAAACGTCCCTCCTGCGCAGAGAGACCGAAACACAGCCTCTGGGGTGGGCGCTGAGTGGGCCTTGGGACCCACCGCGGGTGCTTCCTTAGGCAGGTGCAGGGACACTCAGTGCTCCACGTTCTTGTCCTGAGACCAGGCAGGAAAATAATGTAGAGATGACAAATGATTTGGAGTTACTCTTACTTTTTTCTGATAGAGTTTAATTAGAGCTCAGAAAAAAAATAGGGAATAACTTTGGCTGAAATAATACATATTGACTCTGTGTAGACTGAGATTATTAGGTGGGGGAGGCTGGCAAATGACATTACCCTGTGTGCTATTCTGAGAATGAGAAAAAGTCACATTTCCAGTGTGGTTGGAGGGATGCGCATACACAAAGGCTCAATACCACAATAAAGACAAAAACTATAAAACTAGGCCACAGCCTAACTGGTTGCTTCAGTGGGTTGGGTGTTCTTGTGAAGACTGAAGAATCAGGGGTTCCATTCTGGTCAGGACTCAAGCCCGGGATGAGAGGCCAGGTCCCCTATGGGTGTGAGCCAGAGGCAACAAATTGAATGTTCTATCCCTCTCTTTGTCTTTCCATTAGCCTTTCTCTAAAAATAAATTAATAAAAGCATTTTAAAAGCGTGGGAATACTGTAGACTCTAAGAGAAAGTCTCAGAAGTATCCCAAGTGGCTACCAAAACCACTTGGCTGGCATTTGGAGCTCCTCTCAGTCATCTTTGCTGTATGTTTAAGGAGGCGCTGGAACTCAGGGTCATGGACATGTCTCCTTGTGTCAACACGTCCTCTTGCGTACAGCTCATTCACTCTGTTCTGCTAACCCACCTCCCCCTGTTGGCAGCAGCTCTCTCGGACGTTCTTCCTGAGCGGTGCTGGTGCTGCGTGCTTCTTCATGGAAGCATTTCTGATGACACCTTCTGCCTGTGCCTTTCCCTTGTCTGCAAACCCCCTGAGGAACGTGGGGGAAATTACAGGCCCGGCACCGTCGTTCATCGAAAGAGCTGGACACTCATCGGTGGGACTTTTCCGCCCCAGCACTTAAACCTTCCCTGCCAGTGGAACCGCCTCTGTTCTGATCCATCCTGTTCAGGCCTTGGTGTTCAAACACGGTGAATACGTTGGATGTTGCCCACTGCGGGGCGCTCCTTGGTGGTCTTGGCCTTTGCCCCTGTGCCCGGTAGGGTGGCAGCTGGAACCCTGCGCAGCTGGGAGAATCCCAGGGCTGCAGGGACCCCTCTCCCCGCCCTGGATGCCGCTGCCCCCACCCTTCTGCACCCAGCAAGGTCGGGAATGATAGCTGCGGGGGATCAGAGGGAACAGAGTAGGAGGGCCCGTGCCGAGGAAACATCTAGGATGTGAGCGGGCCAGAAAACGAGGGAAACTGAGCACAGGAGCTCCTATTTTGCTGTGGGGAGAGCCTCCCTGTAGGGCTTTCTCAGAGATGCAGGGATTGAAAGCTGCTCCCACAGGCCTCCTGATTCCTCCGGAGGTTAAGGTCTGGGTCGTCAATGTTCACACGGTACGCTGTCTTTGGGGAGCCCAAGGAGGAACCAGCTGGAGACCCTAAGAAGGAAGAGGAAAAGACCGATATCTTCCTCTACATCATCAGGGCTTTGAAAACGTGGTCCACGTGTGTGTGAGTTTGTGTTTGAAGTGTGCCTGTTTGTGAGAAACTGGCTACCAAAGGGAGTGGACTCACCGAGATTTTAAATTGCTAAGTAAGTGTAATAACGTCTCCAAGTTGATAATTTCCATGGTTGAAGACTATAAAGTCAACGGGATAAATTTGGGGATCTAATAGGCTTCATTAAATGCTGAGTGCATCAGGAAGCATCCCATGGACCAACTGGGAGGATGTGCCCAGGCGATGTACACAATGAAAAAGTTTTATAATGAACATGATGTGGCAGGAGAGTTATAGCAAAAAAAAAAAAAAAAAAGAAAGGAAGGAAAAAAGAAGAGGAGGATGAAAGGAGAGAGGGAGGGAGGAAGAACCTGCACTAACAACGTCAAGGTCAGGAAAATCCGAAGACCTGCCCTGGCTGGTGACTCAAAGGATTAAATGCCAGGCTCCAAACGAAAGGGCTGCTGGTTCGATTCCCGGTGGGCCCAGATGCTTGGGCTGTGGGGCCAGGTTCCCGGTTGGGGGGCGCGCCAGAGGCGACCACACATTGAGGTTTCCCGCCCTTTCTCTAAAAGTAAATGAATAACAAATTTTAAAAATCCGTAGACCCAATGGAACACACACACAAAGGGAGCAGAGAGCACGGAACGATCGTGCGGACAGAACAGCGCCGCGGCAGCAAACCGCGCGCAGAACCAGCCCCTGCAGGGCAGGGGGAGCCGTTCGCCGCGCGGCGAGGAGAAGGCGACCAGGGTCTCGGTGAAATCGGCGCGCGGCCGCGTTGCCGGAGAGAAACCAGAAGAGCAGCAGCGCCGGCGCCAAGGGCGTGGCAGAGTCCCCAGAGGTGCAGCCGCCACAAGACGCACATCCCTGCAGGGGCGAGCAAGGGCGCGGCCCAAGGGCACCGCCAGGCTCCGAACACGGAGCGGTCGGCCTTGTCAAGGATCGGATTGGGGGGGCAGAAGCCGTGGGTGGGGCGTCGGTGGAGGGAGAGACCGGTGAACCCTTTCTGTAGCACCACATCACCTCTTGTGCCGCGTAACAGCACGATGAGTTATTAAAACTGTAGTGCTATGTAATTAAACTATTAGGGTAATGTAATATATCAAAAGTAATGATTATACACTTTATATGATCTCTCCTTTTATTTTTCAATATTTACAATATATAATTTTTTGAATTTCTCTTCATCTTATTCTAATAACTTATTATATCTTTTGGAAACTTTTTTGTATGGTTACATTTCCCATTTTAGGCATTTATTTTTGTTAATTTAATTGTGTCTAAGAATATTATTTATTCATAGTTATTTTTATTATTTTTGTTCTATATAACATTTCTTATTTATATATATCCATTATGTAGATGACTTACTATTTAATTGGAAGAAAGATTATAGAACATAGACCCAATGGGAAACACCGCCGCGCGCCGATTTCACCGAGACCCACTGGTCGCCTTCTCCTCGCCG